CCAATAGGGAGTGTGTAGGAGGCAGCTGATCGATGTTTCTCTCTCATCGATGTTTCTAACTCTTCCTCTCCTTTCCTCTCTGTAAAAAAATCAATAAAATATATTAAAAATAAAATGCCATTTTCTGCAGAGCCAGTTGTTTGGTTGGTTGGTTGGGGAGGGGATGTGTCAGGGGAAGAGTGGATATCAGGAGCTTAGTTAAATTTGAGATCTCTATTTAGACATCGAATGGAAATGTCAAATTTGTAATCAGATATGTGAATCTGGAGTTCAGGGAAAAGGTTGGGGCTGGAAATAGAATTTTAAGAGACATCAGTTAGACATAAAGAAGTAAAAGATGCTGAGGAATGACCAGAAAGATGATAAAAAAAACCAGGAGAGTGTGATGTTCATGTTTTGGAAGTCAAGTGAAGGAAGTGTTTCAAGGAGAGTGGTCAGTTGAGCATGAAGGGACCAGATCCCTGAAAGCAAGTATATACTATGTAGAAGAAATGATAAAAATGAGGTAAAATTTACTCTTTCCACTATTGAGCTTGGATCAGTCTCAAATACACAACTATTTTTGAGGTTTTTGAATTATCCTCTGAAGTAAAGCAGGTTTTGAGTCAACATTGCACTTTCCCTGAGACCCAGGGGACTTGACTGCTTGCTGCCTTATAACTAAGTCAAAACCCCTTTACCCGGTTCCTGGAAAACAGGTGCTGATCACTTTTAAGGAGGAGGAGTACTCAGCACTCTAAAACTTAATGTTTAATGAGATTATGTCTGTGAGACCCTTGGTAAATATGAAACTAACTACCTGGTTAAACACAAGGCACAAATTATTACTACTATTTTTGGACTATAATCTTCAAATAAGCCAAGTCTTTCCCTATGTTGTGAACATTATTCAAAATAGGAAGCTTTATGAAATGAACACCAATTTTTCTCTTCAGCCTACTTACTGCCCTAAAGCTATCCCCTAATAGAGAAACTGTGTCTGTTAAGTGTTGTTTTTTTCTGTTTTTTCTTTCCTGTCCTCTTATTCTCCCAGCTGTCTCAACTCAGAACCTTGTAGGAAGAGAGTTACACTTCAGAAAAATGTGTTTGCTTTGACATTTAAACAAACCTCCATTTTGTTTTTTCCATACAGAATTTTCCCCTCTCGCATTTGCAACGCTCTCTCTGAGCTGTCTTCTTTTCAGCTCATTCATTATTACTAAGGTTTTCAGATTATACCAGAGGAAGAAGACAGATTTATAAATGTGTTCCTGTCCAGCTCTTTCGAGAGTAGGACTTAACATTTGTCTTCTAATTGTATGCCTGTTCTCTATACACAGCTGTGCTCATCTGCCCTTATTAATGAGGTGCCTATCTCTAAGTCTTACCTTGTCTAGAAATAAATGGACTCTGTTCCTGTTCAAATTGGTTATACAATAATCAGAGCAGCCCATCATTGGGAGGAGACATCCATTTGAATTCACTTGCTAATAGCCAGAGAGAATTTGGCCTAATTGCTTTCTTAGGTTTGCCATTTCCTTTAAGATGTCAGTACCCTAGAAAGGGATTGAAGGGATAGGTATCCTGTCCTTTTCCCCTCTGGAACCTCTCCCCCAGCCGCCCATTCCCCTCCCTTACTCTGCCCCATCCCCCACACTTCTGAAATATGTATGAGTTTTTATCTAAGATAAAGATATAGGGACATTTTGAGGAAATTGTGTAAAAAGAATCAGAATCCACTAGAGATTGCTATGTAATGCCTTAAAGATCTGGCCACTAATAAATGATGAGATCTTTGGCAAATTACTTAGCCTTTCTGGGCTTTCATTTCCTGGTTCATACAGTAACTTTAACAACCCCTATATGGCAGTATTGTTGGGAGGACTCTGATTTCTCTTAATGGTGTACCTAGTTCCAAAAGTGACTTAAGGCTGTGAATATTTGATAAGCTAATGAGTATGAAAACACATAGCACATAATAGATTTTTTTAAATATATATAGTTTATTGATTTTTTACAGAGTGGAAGAGAGAGGGATAGAGAGTTAGAAAGATTGATGCGAGAGAAACATCGATCAGCTGCCTCCTACACACCCCTTACTGGGGATGTGCCTGCAACCTAGGTACATGCCCTTGACCGGAATCGAGCCTGCGACCTTTCAGTTTGCAGGCCGACACTCTATCCACTGAGCCAAACCGGTTTCGGCCATAATAGATGTTCAATAAATGTTTTAATTAGACTCTAATTGACTAAATCAAAGTTCTTTCCTGCCCTAATTTCATCAGACTGAGACTTTCTGAAAGGATCATGCCCTCCTCCCTCTCCCCCTAATTCCCTTCTGTAATCTGGTTTTATGACAGAGCATCATAAAATCTTATTTAAAAGGCATGCCCACGAGTTCAGGGCTCGTGTTCTGTACTCCATGGTTTTTCCTTTGTATTGACATATTAAAAGCCTCCTATGGGCTAGTTATCTAATTTTAAATCTTATCATTTATTTGTTTTAATTCTGTAGTATTGATTAAAAATCTGAGGTTCATAGAGGTTAAGTGTCTTGTCCAAGATTACACTGTAGCAGAGAAGGATTTGGACTAAGGTTTTCTAACTTCAAGTCAAGTTAATTTTAGCAGCATTCTACATCCAAGAAAATGAATAAAGGTGAGTTACTGCAGATAGGCCCTGGGAATGGAGTGCTGACCCAAATAGTGTGTGACCAAGATGAGCAGAAGGCCAACTCTAGAGTCTCCAGACCTCTAATGAAAAAGGCCAGTAGAAGACCTGTTCACCTGCTCCTTAGGGGACTAGATGGGAAAATTGCAAAAGTATGAAACAGAGAAGAGGAAAATCACTAACAAAAACATCCCATTCAAAACGAGCCTGCAAACTGCCCTGGTCAGTTTGGCTCAGTGGTTGGTGGTTAAAGCATCAACTCACAGGACAGAAGGGTTGTGGGTTCAATTCCTGGTCAAGGGAATGTACATGGGTGGCAGGTTCCCCAGCCTCAGTAGGTAGGGGTGTGTGCAGGAGGCAACTGATAATGTTTCTCACATCAGTAATATTCTCTCTCTCTCCATCCATCCTCCCCCGCCCCTTCTTTCCACTCTCAAAATCGATGGAAAAAATGTTCTTGGGTGAGGATGAGGTTTTGGGGGGTTTTTTGTTTTGTTTTGTTTTTTTAATAGCCTACAAACTAAAATTTTATATAATAGAAATCTAACACTAAGAAAGATAACCAGTAAAATTTAACCAGGACTTCCACTTTGAGGAAGATAAAGTAGACATACTTTTTCCTAGTTCTCGCACTGAATACAACTAAAACCCCTGTCCATTGTATATAAAGCAAATATAGCAAAACTCTAAAGGCGTAGAAAAGAAGGCAGACCAGCTAAGGACCTCAAGACCTGAGTAATAACATGGTGGTGAGTTCCCTGGGTTTTCTTTTTCCCTCCATATTCCAGATATGGAGCTGAACATTATACTTGTGAAAACCTGAGTGCTTTCCCCCTAAGAGAAACAAGGCAAGGATGTCTGCTTTCGATATTCTTATTCAACATAGTGCTGGAAGTTCTAGTTATTGCAATAACATGAGAAAAGGAAATAAAAGGCAGACAGATCAGAAAGCAAGAAATACAACTGCTTATTTGCACATTACATGATTGTCTATATAGAAAATCTCAATGACTAAATAAATAACTCCTAGAACTAATAGGTGACTTTAGATAGGTCATAGAATATAAGATAAACATACAAAACTCAATTGTATGTCTACTATATACTAGTTATGAACATTTGGGGACTGAATTTAAAGACATAATAATACCATTTATAATAACTCAAAAAGAAAGAAATACTTAGGTGTAAATTTAACAAAACATCTACAAGATTGTATGCTAAAAGAAATTAAAGATAATCTAAATAAATAGAGAGCATGTAGTAAAGATGCCAATTTTTCCCAAATTGATAATATAGGTTAATGCAATTTCTGTCAAAATTCAGCAATATATTTTGTAGATATAGATAAGATTATTCTAAAATTTTATATTTAAAGGCCAAAGGAACTAAAATAGCTAAAACAGTTTTGAAAAATAATAAAATGGGAAGAATAAGATTTGAAAACCTATATATAGCCACAGTAACCTTTAAGACTGTAATATTGCCAGAGGGATAGACCAATGGAACAGAGCAGAGAACCAGGAAATAGACAGAAAACCCAATTGATTTTTAAAAATATATTTTATTGATTTTTTTACAGAGAGGAAGGGAGAGGGATTGAGAGTCAGAAACATTGATGAGAGAGAAACATCTATCAGCTGCCTCCCGCACACTCCCCACTGGATATGTGTCCGCAACCAAGGCACATGCCCCCAACTGGAATCGAACCTGGGACCCTTGAGTCCGCAAGCCGACGCTCTATCCACTGAGCCAAACCGGTTAGGGCCACCCAATTGATTTTAGCAAAGGTAGCAAATCAATTTTTGACATCATGAATTAACAAATGGACATCATGGACCAAAAAAAGAGAATCTCATATAAAAAAAGTTAATTCAAAATAAATCAAGGACTAAAACAGAAAACTGTAAAACTTTTAGGGGGGAAAAAAACCTATAACAAAACCTTCAGTAGGCAAGGAATTCTTAGACTTAACACCAAAAACATGATTCATGAAAGGCACAAAATTTTATAAGTAAGTCATTGATTGGTGGATACATGAGTTTTTGTTAGGTTATTCTTTGTAATTTTTTAGTAGGTTTGAAACATTGCACAATCTTTTTTAAGTTATAAAAATGTATCTTAATTGGACCATGAAATCTTTGCAACTATTGCCCATCTTACAGGTCCCTGATAGTGTGTTGTAGGCAGTTCCCATAGAACTATTTCAGCCCGATCCTGTTTGTCCGGTTGGGACTCACACTACCCCTAAGCTCTCCTGTAGGAGCCAGAATGCTACTCAAGTGGAAAAATACTCTTTTCGGTGGCCAGCAGGGTTTCTCTTGTCTATATCTGAGTCTTTTTGTCTTCCAGGGATGTTGGTAGTGAATGTAACATGGAGGAACAAGACATATGTAGGTACACTTCTTGACTGCACACGGCATGATTGGGCACCCCCCAGGTAAGCACTTTACGGCTTTTTAGTTTATGTTAGTCTGAACCACCCTAATCAGTGATCACTTATGTCTTTATCCAGCTAGGGTTGGATAGGTTTTTTGGGTTTGTTTGTTTTTTAATTTTTTTTAAATATATATTTTTATTGATTTCAGAGAGGAAGAGAAAAAGAGAGAGAGAGAGAGAGAGAGAGAGAGAGAGAGAGAGAGAGAGAGAGAGAGAGAGAGAGAAACATCAGTGATGAGAGAGAATCATTGATCAGCTGCCTCCTGCACACCCCACACGGAATCGAGCCCACAACCTGAGTATGTGCCCTGACCAGGAATAAAACTGTGATCTCCTGGTTCAAAGTTTAATGCCCAACCACTGAGCATGCTGGCCAGGCTGTAGGATTGGATAGTTTTTAAGATACCCAGCCTTGGGTTGTAACACTTGAAACTAATACAATATTATATGTCAAATGTAATTGAAAAATAAAAATTAATAATTTAGAAAAAGGGAAGAATTTAAGAAATTAACAGCATCTCCTAACAGTATTTTTCACCTTAGATATTTTAGATGTGTTTTTATAAAACAAAAACATTTGCCATACAGGGGAAGGAAAAATAAAAGGCATCCAGCTTTTAAAGGACATTATGGTGTAGAGACAAAGAAAGCCACTATATTCATCTAGCATTCAAGAATAAATTAAGCCAAAACCGGTTTGGCTCAGTGGATAGAGCATCGGACTACGGACTGAAAGGTCCCGCGCTCGATTCTGGTCAGGGGCATGTACCTTGGTTGCGGGCACATCCCCAGTGGAAGGTATGCAGTAGGCAGCTGATTGATGTTTCTCTCTCAACAATGTTTCTAACTCTCTATCCCTCTCTCTTCCTCTCCCGTAAAAAATCAATAAAATATATATTTTTTAAAAAGAATAAATTAATCAGGCCCTGGTCGGTGCTGCTCAGTGGTAGAGATCAGCTCACAGACTGAAAGGTTGCGGGTTCAATTCCCAGTCAAGGGCACCAAAAAAAAAGAAAAAGAATGAATGAGTTGATGGGTTGGGTAGAAGTGGGTGGAGATCCTACTTAAGTCTTTGTCTGTAATTATTGAATTCTGACTGCTACCTATAGTCACTTTGAAAATCCATTAGAGTCTCACTATCAGTGAGCAAACATTCATTGATGATCCTTTTTGATGGTAGCTCTCTCTCAAAAATTTAAACTCAAGAACATTTGGGAGTTTTTATTTTTTTTAATATATTTTATTGATTTTTTTACAGAGAGGAAGGAAGAGGGATAGAGAGCTAGAAACATCAATGAGAGAGAAACATCAACCAGCTGCCTCCTGTACACCCCCTACCAGGAATGTGCCCGCAACCAAGGTACATGCCCTTGACCGGAATCAAACCTGGGCCTTTCAGTCCACAGATTGATGCTCTATCCACTGAGCCAAAACGGTTTCGGCCATTTGGGTTTTTTTTAAAACTACTGGACAATGTTGGTTTCACAAGGACCTTTTCAAATTGCAATTTGATCTTAAAATTGGCATTTCAGAGAAGGGCACCTTCAGCTTATTTCTAATATTAATTTGCAGTTTGCTAGGCTTTGGGAAACCCAAATGTCGGGGAATGATTTATAGCTAGTATGAAGAAAGCCTTATAGGAGCTTACCACTTAATTGCAGTTCCCACTCTTTCAGAAGTTCCTTTAGCAAATCATATTCATTGAAAATGATAGTTACCATCTGGACAATTCTTCTGGAGACTGCAGCTAAACTAATTTGAAGTCGTTTTCACTTCTTAATAACATTCTATTGTGTTTGTCCTTTGCCAAGGTTCTGTGACTCTCCCACCAGTGACCTGGAAATGCGAAACGGTCGGGGTAGAGGCAAGCGCATGCGTCCAAACAGTAACACACCTGTCAATGAGACAGCAACAACATCTGACAGCAAAGGGACCAGCAGCAGCAGCAAAACCCGAGCAGGAGCCAATAGCAAAGGCCGTCGGGGCAGCCAGAATTCCTCAGAGCACCGCCCACCTGCCAGCAGCACCACTGAGGATGTCAAGGCCAGCCCTTCCTCAGTGAATAAGCGGAAAAACAAACCCCTTTCAGACATGGAGCTGAATTCCAGCTCAGAGGACTCCAAAGGGAGCAAGCGTGTCCGTACGAATTCCATGGGCTCAGCCACTGGCCCCCTCCCTGGAACCAAGGTGGAACCCACTGTTCTAGATAGAAATTGTCCCTCCCCAGTCCTGATTGACTGTCCCCACCCAAACTGTAACAAAAAGTATAAGCACATCAATGGACTTAAGTACCACCAAGCTCATGCCCATACAGATGATGATAGCAAGCCAGAAGCCGATGGAGACAGTGAGTACGGGGAGGAGCCCGCCCTCCACGCAGACCTTGGGAGCTGCAATGGTGCCTCTGCCTCACAGAAAGGTTCCTTGTCCCCTGCCCGCTCAGCTACCCCCAAAGTTCGGCTCGTAGAGCCCCATAGCCCTTCTCCCTCAAGCAAGTTCAGCACAAAAGGTCTGTGTAAGAAAAAGTTGAGTGGGGAAGGGGACACAGACCTTGGGGCCTTATCCAATGATGGCTCTGATGATGGACCCTCAGTTATGGATGATACAAGCAATGATGCCTTTGATTCTTTGGAAAGGAAGTGTATGGAAAAAGAAAAATGTAAAAAACCCTCTTGTTTGAAACCTGAAAAGATGCCTTCCAAGAGCTTAAAGTCAGCCCGGCCCATTGCCCCGGCCATCCCCCCCCAACAAATCTACACCTTCCAGACAGCCGCCTTCACCGCCGCCGGCCCAGGCTCTTCCTCGGGCTTGACCACCACCGTGGTCCAAGCCATGCCCAACAGCCCCCAGCTCAAGCCCATTCAGCCCAAGCCCACGGTGATGGGAGAGCCTTTCACAGTCAACCCTGCCTTGACTCCAGCCAAGGACAAGAAAAAGAAAGACAAAAAAAAGAAGGAGTCTTCAAAGGAACTTGAAAGTCCTCTGACTCCTGGAAAGGCGTGTCGAGCAGAAGAAGGCAAAAGCCCGTTCAGGGACTCGTCGGGAGACGGGATGAAAATGGAGGGGCTCCTAAACGGCTCGTCAGACCCTCACCAGAGCCGGCTGGCCAGCATCAAGGCCGAGGCTGATAAGATATACAGCTTCACGGACAATGCCCCCAGCCCTTCCATTGGAAGCAGCAGCCGCCTAGAGACCGCTACGCCTACCGGGCCCATGACTCCCTTACATGTAGTGACTCAGAATGGGGCTGAAGCCAGCTCCGTCAAAACCAACAGCCCCGCCTACTCCGACATCTCTGATGCTGGGGAGGACGGGGAGGGCAAAGTGGATAGTGTCAAATCAAAGGACCCTGAGCAGTTGGTTAAGGAAGGAGCTAAGAAAACTCTTTTCCCCCCTCAGCCACAGAGCAAAGACTCCCCATATTACCAAGGCTTTGAGAGTTACTACTCTCCAAATTACGCACAGTCCAGCCCAGGGACGCTGAACCCCAGCGGCCAGGCAGGAGTGGAAAGTCAGGCCCTGAAGACAAAAAAGGATGAGGAGCCTGAGAGCATCGAGGGGAAAGCAAAGAACGATGTCTGTGAGGACAAGAAGCCCGAGCTGAGCAGTTCCAGTCAGCAGCCCTCTGTCATCCAGCAGCGCCCCAACATGTACATGCAGTCCCTGTACTACAACCAGTATGCCTACGTGCCCCCCTACGGCTACAGTGACCAGAGCTACCACACCCACCTGCTGAGCACGAACACGGCGTACCGGCAGCAATATGAGGAGCAGCAGAAACGGCAGAGCCTGGAGCAGCAGCAGCGGGGACTGGACAAGAAGGCAGAGTTGGGCCTGAAGGAGCGGGAGGCAGCACTCAAGGAAGAATGGAAGCAAAAGCCGTCACTTCCGCCAACTCTCACCAAGGCTCCCAGCCTGACCGACCTGGTGAAGTCGGGACCCAGCAAGGCCAAGGAGCCCGGGGCTGACCCTGCCAAGTCAGTCATTATTCCCAAGTTAGATGACTCTTCCAAACTCCCCAGCCAGGCCCCAGAAACTCTTAAAGTGAAGCTGAGTGAGGCCAGCCACCTAGGCAAGGAGGCTTCTGAGGCTAAAACAGGTGCTGAGTGTGGCCGACAGGCAGAGGTGGATCCGATACTCTGGTACCGACAGGTAACTGTTCTGGGAAGAAATAGAAATACTGTCTGTCTTTCTCTCTTCCTCACACTCAGGGTTGTCCCGATGCAGGAGGTCAACACAAAACAGGAGGAGAAATCTGTAATTTTAGGGATATTTTTACCTTTGTAAATCATTTGAATGTTTTTCAAAAAGCACGTTTAGCCTTGGTCAGTGTACCCAGTTGTCAGGGCATCGGCCCACGCACCAACGCGTCTCGTTCAGTTTCCGGTCAGCGGCACATACCCGGGTTGCAGGTTTACTCCCCATCTCCAGTCGGGGCACCTACAGAAGGCAAAGAGTCGATGTTTTTCTCTTCCATCAATCTTTCTCTCTCCCCACCTCCTCCTCCCCTCCCTCTCTCTCTGAAAAGCAATGGGGAAGCAAATATGTCCTCAGGTGAGAATTGACAAAAGGGGGGGAGGGTGCACTTTTACATCAGTAAAACGTGTTTTCCCATTTGACAAGAGAGGCCCAGAAACAGAACAAAACTGGAACCCAGCTGTCTGTACTTCTAGGCCAGTGTTTCTTCCAGTGGAATGAGTTGATGGTGATCTGTCCAAATTTTAAAGTAGACCAGAAGTACGCTATTCAAACTGTTCCTTTAAAAAATATTTTATAGGAAGAGCTAGAACCAAGAACTTGGTCTCACATCTTGCTCTGCTCAAAAGATTTTTCTTTTTTTTAATATGTTTTTATTGATTTTATGGAGAGAGGAGGGTGAAGGAAAGAGACAGAAAGAAACATCCATCATCTGCTTCCAGCATTCCCCCTGCTGGGGACTGAGCCCACAACCCGGCCATGTGCCCTGACCGAGACTCGAACTGGAGACCATGAGATGACGCTGAGCTAAATGAGCCGCACCTGCCAGGGCTGCTCAAGAAACTTAGGAAAGAAGTCTTCCTTTCCCTGTTGGTGCCACACTTGGGCCTTCTGCCCCTGAGCTTGCCCTGAAATGAAACAACCTCTTCTATTTGGGAAATGATTTCTCCAGCATGCTTGCTCTCTCAGTGAGGAGACCCACTGATAGATTTCCTTTTCTTTCCCCATCTTTCTTTCTCTTGAGACCAAAGGAACAGGCTTTTTAAGCAGAAGAGACGAGAGTTCATTGTAAACCATCAATAGAGGCCACTGGCATACTCTGCCCGAGGTGTTTACTGGGACCCTGGGCGTGAAACTAGCACTCTCTCTCTCCTTCATTTATGCAACACTCAGTGCTCATTCTGTGATTGTAGGAAGCTGAGCCCCGGATGTGGACATATGTTTATCCTGCCAAGTATTCAGACATCAAATCAGAAGATGAGAGGTGGAAAGAGGAGCGGGACCGCAAATTGAAGGAGGAAAGGAGTCGGAATAAGGACTCTGTTCCCAAGGAGGATGGGAAGGAAAGCACAAGTAGTGACTGCAAGCTGTCCACTTCTGAGGAATCCCGCCTCGGGAGCAAGGAGCCCCGACCAAGTGTCCATGTGCCTGTGTCCTCCCCTCTCACCCAGCACCAGTCTTACATCCCCTACATGCACGGCTACTCCTACAGCCAGTCCTATGACCCCAACCACCCCAGCTACCGGGGCATGCCTGCTGTGATGATGCAGAACTACCCAGGTACGGCACCACCCTTCCAGCTGGTGTTCCATTGCCCACGGGTGGAAATGAAGCAAAGGTTTCAAATCCAGTTTTTTTGCTCAGTCCTAAGGCTAATTGGGGCCCAGGTAGATGACAGCCCTTTTTGTAATGTGACATTCTGTGAAGTGGCCTCTCTACACCCAACTCTTTGACCCCTAATTACCAGAAGTAGACCAGAAGTACGCTATTCAAACTGTTCCTTTCAAAAATATTTTATAGGAAGAGCTAGAACCAAGAACTTGGTCTCACATCTTGCTCTGCTCAAAAGACTTTTCTTTTTTTTAATGTGTTTTTATTGACCACCTCTACCTCCCTTGCTTCTCTAGAGGGTTGCCTCCACAGTCACTTTTCACAGAAAACGAGGTAAAATTCTCTCTGTACCACTGCCATCTCCCCTCAACGAGGGTTTGTCACACACACACCCTTTATTTTCAGTGCACTCGGGCACCGCGGAGAACACAAAAACATAGGGAAGACTATTCCTCCCCTCGAGGAGCTTACGGCTTGTAGCATGAGAAAGATGTGGAACAAATAACATTCCAACCAACACACTGCATGTATTCGTTGTAAGATCCTGTTCAGCTGTACGGGGAAGGCAGGAGGGGGAAGGGCCTTGGAAGTCAGATTGTGGGGAAGTCCAGCGAGAAGAGGCTCAGCTTGGGAAAGACAAGCTCTTTATACTCCATCCTTGAGTCCTTAGGGGACACACAGCAGGAGTTTGTGTTTTTAACTTGTTAGAAGAAAATTTGCTTACTCCACTCTACTTACTGAGGTCTGTTGCCTGAACAGCTATGTGGTACTTCTGGGGTGAAAGAGAACTTCTTTCACTCCTACAAGCTGCCCCCTTTCTATAGGAGAGCAGCCAAAATAGTCTTGATATTCTGGCTTAACATTATAACGACAAGTAAGCTTTCAGACAGTTAGGAACGTGTCTCACTCCTTTCTCCTGTTAGCCCTGCTCATCTCTATAAAAATAGCAGTGCCGCTGGATGAGGGCCTGACTGGGCCAGGCACTGTCCTAGGTATTTATGTGCATTATCTTGTTTAATCCCCGGACACCCTGTGAAATAAGATTTGGTATCTTCATTTTGGTGGTGAGGAAACTGGAGCTCGGAAAGGTTGTTAATGTGCTCAAGGCTACCCAGCTGTTAAGTCTCACGGGTAGGATTTGAGCCCAAGGCCATCTGCCTTCATATCCTATGACCTTTCCACTTCATGGTCTCACCTCTCCAGGCTGAATCTCTGAGACTGGGACTCCAGGGAAATTGATTCTCAGAGACTGCAGGTTATGTTCCGAATATCCCTAAGCTAATTTTGCCTCTAGAGCTCAGTAAAGGACAAACTAATCATCTCAGCCCAAAGGCACCAGGGTAGAAACTATCCCTGTGCCTCGGGAAGCTGATACCCTCCCAGCCACACTCACTACGCCGTTTTGTCTACCTCGCCCTTCTCCTCTCTCCTCTCCCAGGTTCCTACCTACCTTCCAGCTACTCTTTCTCCCCGTATGGCAGCAAGGTCTCGGGGGGTGAAGATGCTGACAAGGCCCGAGCCAGCCCCAGTGTCAGTTGTAAATCCGGCTCTGAGTCCAAAGCCTTGGACATCTTACAGCAGCATGCCAGTCACTACAAGAGCAAGTCTCCCACGGTAAGGGAGTGCGGCTGCACTCGCAGATGAACGAAGACCAGTAGGGCTGGCCTGGGGGTCCGGGAGAAGGTGAACAAGGTCAGGTCCCAACCACAGTGCAGTCGGCTCCTCCAGGCACCGCCTTGATTCTGCATGTTTAAGGAGTCATGATGTGGGCTCTGGCATCTCACTCTCAAGTGTGTCTCACAATAGTGCGTTTGTGTTGCTTTCCTTTCCAGATAAGTGATAAAACTTCTCAGGAGAGAGATCGGGGAGGCTGCGGGGTGGTTGGGGGTGGTGGCAGCTGTAGCAGCATCGGAGGAGCAGGTGCCGGTGACAGGAGTGTAGACCGGCCCCGCACCTCTCCTTCCCAGCGCCTGATGTCCACGCACCACCACCACCACCACTTGGGCTACTCGCTGCTCCCAGCACAGTACAACCTGCCCTACGCAGCAGGTGAGCCTCGTTCCCACTGCCTGCCTTTTAACTCCGTAGCAGTAGCGTTGTCCACAGCAAGGAGCCTCTGGCAAGAGTTCTTTTTTTTTTTTTTAATAGCTTCCGTCAGAATCCTACCCTCCTGCAGACCATCATTAAAGCATATGACATTTATTTCCTCCCTTGGAGCTTTGGGACTCTCAAACTTCTCCAGAAAATTGGCTTTCATATTCAGAAGAAAAAGGAACAGGTGTACCCACAGCAAAAGAGAAGCGAGCAGCTGAAAAATAGAGCCTTATTCTCTATCCCTAGCAATTTTATCTGGCCAACTACCATGTTTCCCCGAAAATAAGACATCCTCCAAAAATAAGACCTACTTACAGGTTTCCTTCTGAGTGAAATATAAGGCATACCCTGAAAATAATACCCCAAATCTCTCACGTTTAGCCCTCCCCAGGCTAAATATGAGAGATTTGGTCCACTGATTCTGAAAGAAATGGAGTCACAAGAAATTCACCAGGAAATTCAGGAATTGGATTGTTATGATTTTCCAGAAGATGATGACATGATTGTCATTGAATAAATGAGTAAATTCTTGATACTGTAGGATTCACAGTTTGTCTGGTTTGTGTTGACAACTACCGTACTACCGTACCGTATACAGCTAATAAATTTCCTTTATTTTCATTTAACAATAAATGTGTACCATACTCTTCTTTATGGAAAAATAAGACATCCCCTGAAAATAAGACCTAGCGCATCTTTGGGAGCAAAAATTAATATAAGACACTGTCTTATTTTCGGGGAAACAGGGTATTACTTTTTTTTTTTTTCTGTCAGCCCCCCAAAACTCTATAATAGAGTTAGGAAAATAAGGAGAAGCTCCTCCCCTCCCCAACCACCAGCTGGCCAGGAGAAAGTGCTTGAACCAGAGGTTGTGGGAGTGCTGCACTAACATGTCCTCCTCCTCACCCAGGGCTTTCTTCCACAGCCATTGTTGCCAGCCAGCAAGGCTCAGCTCCCTCCCTCTACCCGCCGCCCCGGAGGTGAGAACGGTAAGTGATTTGTCAATTTGGGGTAAAACAGAGAGATGGTTGATCACAACTGTCGTGGGTCACAGAGTATCTGTGCACATCTTACAGTGCCCACAGGTTGAGAACCGCTAACAGGGTCGCCCAAGACTATCGGAAAACACAGATATTTACATTATGATTCATAACAGTAGCAAAAATACAGTTAGGAAGTGGCAATGAAAATAGTTTTATGGTTGGGGGTCACCACAACGGGAGGAACTGTTTGAAAGAGCCGCGGCATTAGGAAGGTTGAGAACCACTGCTCTAGGGAGAGCAGTAGCTGCCTGCCCCCCAGTTCATTTTCTCGGAGCGCCACCCTGTGGTTGTTGTGCCAGCCGCTGAGTGCCTGGTTATCTGTCCGCTTCCCTTACAGAACACCAGGTGCCGGGATAAAGTCCGCTCCACAGGCCGGAGGTGCTGGAGGTGCCATTAGCACATCAGTTAAATGGTGTTGATCATCCTGTTTGCCGTGTCCCCGCCATGACCGAAGGCAGACCCTTGGCTATCTCGCCTCCACCAGGTCCCGGACTCCCCCACCCTCCCTTTTCCTCAGGAGCTGGAGAGCTGGTACTTAGCAAAAATATTTATTCTCGCGGCCACATTTGTGACTGTTGTGGCCTCTGTGGAGATGAAGGCATGGGGAGCACCCAGGGGAACATGGCCTCAGCCCAGAGAAGCCACTGCTCTGTTCCCCAGCCCCTGGTCAGCTGCCGGAGGAGTACCAGCCCCCACCCAGGGAGGGACCCCCAAGCACTGGGTAAGGTCTGAAGACAGCACAGCAGCCATTCCCTCTCACCGTCATCATCGCCACCATCGCCAGAACCTGCATCGCCCCAGTGGTTTGAGCCCTGGGAACTGACAGCACGTGGAGAAATTAGAATCTCAGGAAAGAAATTGGGGGCTGTTTTCTCTGTAATTGTGAAAACAAGGTCTTCAAACAGGAAGACTTCTCCCCTCTCACATGAGCACATATAAATGCTCAGAGCCCAGCCTAGAAAGGATGTCCATGGTACTTGCCCGCACGGCCCTGGGCTGCTGGTCAGGCGGAGGGCCGGGGGTGCCCACACCAGCACCGGGCTCCCAGGGGTACAGGCAGTAAGCTGGAGCTGGAGCATGAATGGAGTCTGTGAAATAGTACTGCATCCCCACCGAGTCCTGCTGCTTCTTAGCCCTCAACACCTGGCCCTTTCTCTCTTCCCTCCTGAACCCTGTGCCCAGGGGGATTCTCACCTGATCTCTCCTCTTCTTTTCCACTGCTTGGCTCTTAAGACTCAGGCAGGTAAAATAGTATTCCCAGGCCTGGGGAGCTTCGGAGTCTGCCAGGGGTTCTCAGGGCAAGGCCCAGGGGGGCGGTTCTTAGGAGATGTCCTGTCCATTCAGCCATCATTTAGGGTCACAAATATATACAGCCAGGTTCCTCTGTATACAAGCATATGGTTTTATGTAGCTCAGTCTATCACCCCGTGTGTGCCAATATGAGCCGTGTCTTTGTAGCACACATTTTTGTTTTAGGAGACACTGACCATGGGAGGTTATGTGCTCCTTAGACCTGGGGTAACACATTCAAGCCATTACTCCTCTGAGCCACGGAGTGTACTCGGCAGGAGCTATGCTTTGAGGCAGCAGACATTTCTCTGCTCTCTCAGTTCAGGCTCTGTGCTCTGTGTTCTGGGAAGGGACAATGCTTTGGTAGCTTTATTGGAGTCACTTCTTCCCCGTGGTGTGGGAAGCTTTAGCTCTTACTTTGCTTTTGAGGTATCATCCCTTTGTTCTCCTCCTCTCCTATCTGTCCTTGACCTGGATTGAGAGAAAGTAAAGGCTGACAGACACCAGCCTAGGCTACACAGGGGTATTAGCGACCAGAGTGCCAAAAGTGACCATTTAAAAGCAGGTATTCGGCTCTGACAGCGTGGAGGGCAGTTAGCACATTGTCAGCAAAGGCTGCTTTCCAAGGTCCCAGAGCCCTACTCTGCATCCAGAGGCTCAGGGTCATTTGCCTAAGAGGAGCCCCCCTGACCTACAGGCCTTTCCTCTAGGTTTCACATTCTCGTTTTTATTCCAGTTGGGTTCTGAGCCAGACCAAACGTCTCGCCATCTTAGGCCTCTTAGCAGGCCCCAGGAAGCCTCCCTCTCTCCCATCATTCCCTCTGCCTCCTGCTGCCCCAGCGGGCAGTGCTCTCAACAGTGACACCCCACCTAACCTGAGTCACCACTAAAGAGGGTGACTGAATTTCAGCCTGATTATGCCCTCCCACACTCCTGTGGGGTGAAGCCAAGGGCCTGTCTCTGTTCCTGTTTGTTTTTAAATATTGTTGTGTGTTTTGTAACTGTGGCACTGGCTCACAGCGTGACCTGTACATATTGTAAAGAAACAGTTTCGTTTTTTTTTTCCCCATTGGGCAGGCATGGTCTGCATTCCTGCCCTTTCCACTTCATTCTGTAACACAGAGAAGAAGAAATTCCGTATTAGCAGGGCAGCCTTGGGTTCTACAGAAGGGAACAGCTTTTTCTTTTGTTTTCTTTTCCCCTATTAAACTTTTGGCTCTTGGATCCTTATATCCAAGTCTCGCTTGAAGAGTGGAAGCTGAGCTGCCCAGAAGAGCAGGGAAAAACCAGGAATGGCAGAATGGCACCGCCTTTTCCTAACCCCTAATCCTCCTGCTCTCAGATCCTTGCCAGGTCCAATCTTCCTTCCCTGGAGTAGCACAAAGCCGCAGCAGCAGTGAGGAAACAGATCCTTGCTGAGCACTGACCCTTGATGACCTCCAGCCTCTCCACATGGGGGAGGAGGAACACAGGTTAGGGTACCTGTGGCACCCATGACCTGGTCAGAGGGACAAGGCACGAAGCAGGATTCCCATTCTTCCCCACCCACTCCGTAAGCATAGGCTGGAAAAGGTTGGTGCTAAGGGCCCAGACCACCAGACCAAGGCTCTCTTGGTGCCACCCCTGCCCTGGTCTCTACTGGACATCTCATCAGGTTCCCCACAGAGAAGCTAGAGGGAAAGACAGCCAAGCTTGAAGAGCTGCTGCTCAAGATTCACATCCTCCTCTTCCTCATTCAGCCTTTTCCCCGTTAGTACATGTATATGTACATGTATGCAATTTCCTTCTCTTATCTCATCCTCTCCACACATCTCAAGGTCAGAGGACCACAAGCAGAAGGGGTAAGAGGGCACCCCATGAAATGAAGTGGTGATTCCTAAATCTCTTCTCTCCAGGCTCCAGGTGGGTGTGGGAAGACTTGGCCTCAGGAGTGGGAGGATAAGACCGCAGGAGGGCTAAGAGTTATTTTATACAGGCTTTGAGGTCACCCATGTCACTAATTATCCATATACCCTATCACCATCCCACTGTCTACTCTGATGCCCCAAGACTCCACTGGGCAGCTAGCTGGCCCCATAATTCTGGGCCTTTATTATTTGTTTTGTAACTTGGGCATTACAGGAAGTTTTCTGATGATCCTCTGCCACGGGCACCTCCTGGGACTGAGCCCCTCCCAAACCCCATCCCAGCCCCTCCTGCCCCAGCCCACCCGCTTGCCTTGGTGCTCAGCCCCCATTGGGAGCAGGTTGGGGCGAGCTGGAGGCCCGGGCTGGAGGGGCAGTGTTGCTGTTCATAGCTTTTGTCCCATCGCGTTGCTCTGTTGGATTTAATTTCAGTCTTCCCGATTCTTCCCTTATGTAAAGTGTACATTACCGAGTTCCTTGTTTTTTTATATATATATATAAATATATATATATACAAACTGTACTCTTTTTGCCTTTGTACATTCAGGCAAGAAGAGAAAAATAAATCTTTTTAAGAGACAATCACAAATCTGTGAGGGCTGCTGGTTATTTCTCCTGGAGTTTGCTGCTAAGCTGCCTCCTCCCCGCCTGTCCATTCTCTCAGCTTTCCTTATCTTCCTGGTCCTGCTCCATGTGCATCCTCAGCTCCACCCGCCCTGGCTGATGGCAAGTTGTTGAATCCGATGTCCAGACTACCCACCCCGCAATCCTTCCTGCCCAGCAGCGTTTTCCAGCTCGGCCACTGCCTCACCCAGAAGCTTTTAACCTGTGCCCTGGCCTCTCCTGTCTTCCTTCCCCTTCGATCCCATTCACCCAAGTGGCTTTGGACTCCTGGGTACTCTGGGGCATCCCAGAAACCCTGGTTTTGGATGCCTGTGAAACTATGCAGCGGGGAGCTCTTTGCCTAAAGTTTTGCACTATTTCAACCTGCCTGAGAGTTAGAACAGATGGTTTTTTAGGAAGAGTGGGAAACGCCTTAAAACCCCCGATTCCAGCCTCCAAGGTGCTCTAATCCAGATACCAGAGAATCGTTCCCTACTGGTGGATTCCTATGGCCGCCCACCCCTTCAGAACAAGCCCTGAATGTTTATGGGTCAAAGAGCATTTGATCAGAATTTCAAAGGGTGGTACATTCTGAAACAGCCCAACCAAATCATTGTTCCACCTCTTGAACTTTCTCCTTCCCATGATTTTCTCCTCCCCTCCCTGTTTTTTTCCCTTTCTTGCTGCTTCTTTTTCTTAATTGGGTTTGGAATTGAAGTATATTTTTAAATTATTTGTTGTATTTATTGAATAAAGTTTTTAATGTCCCTGTTCTTAAATTCAGACTAGTTTGCCTTTCACATGATCATCCCTTCCCCACTCCATCATCCCCCAAAACAGTCTACCTTCTAACTTGCTTTTTTAATTGGACTGCAGATTTGGGGGACTTACCATGTTTCTTTCCTCTTAGTGGTCTTATCTTTTTGAAAAGGAATTATCACGATTCTGGCTGTATTTAAGAGGGTCCACCAGTAGATGGCAGCAACATCTGATGTGTTTCCTATCCACTCTGCTAGCTTTGGGGATAATCAAGGGCCAAGTCTTGCCTTGGTTTTTCACCAGTCTTGCAGATTCCTTGGGTTTGACTTTAACATCTGAAATCGGAACTGCCTACATGAACTTGGCCATTGTTATCATTCACGGA